TTCATTACACCAAATACACAAAATACTGTTCTTTTTAGCAACCCCTTTAAGACTGGTGGCAGAGTAAAAGATTGTCAGTGCATGTGGTTACCTACATTTCATATGGGTTTGGTACAACATGATGCTGTGAAAGGCCCAAAACATACACAATTAATGTAAAGTGTCTTCTGCTACGGTCAGTTTTCTCTTTCAGATCATGGTGAAGCGAGAGTTTAAATAGAACTTTTAATTTGTTCTTGCTGAATAAATTACAGTTAGTTAAAATGTTGATATGATTATGAATATATATCGATATATTTGAATAACGAATAAAGTTGAATATTTCAATTGAATAATAACACATCTGGTTTATGTTTATGGCATCACACTTTCAATATGTTGCCTAAACTTCTTGTCTGAGTTTGTATATTTACATTATGGTTGTTTCTTCCCTAAATTATGACAGAATTTTAATTTTTAGGTAAACAACTCTGTGTCACGCTCCTGGACTGTCTTTGTTGTGTTTTCCCTCCCCATGTGCTCCGTGACCCCCCTGTCTAATTAGTCATTCTGTTCACCTGTGTTCCTCCCAATTCCCTCGTTATCCTGTGTATTTAAGCCCCAGTCTGTGTTTGTTGTAAATGTGTGTCATCTTCCCTTCCTGGTGTGGATTTACCCTGTTTGGATTTAATAAAAGACTGTGTTTGCTATTCTACATCTCCATTGTTCCCTCCAGCAGCATTACGTGACACTCTGCATGTGTGTGGACATGGTGAAATAAGGCAAAAAAGTGTTAGCAAATATTCAAGATTGTGGGGACCAAAGGTAAAACTTGAACAAGTGGTCATTTACAAGCCTATATTGACTGACCGCTAATTTGATTATAGGTGATACACACCTCCCTTAATGCCTATGAAAGTTACGGCCAAGAATATAGCATAAAACCAAATAACCAGAGAGACCAAAAAAAAAAAAAAATTCTTAAAACCAATTGGCCATGTTGTGTTTTTTTCCTGCGCAATGGTTATACACTTTTTCCATCAAATGATGTCATGCCTCCTTCGTATATTCAGACTTTTCACTGGATGGATCACGTGGATTCATATCCTGTCTGAGGCTGTTATTGTTGATGACAGTTTGGCTGTGCACCAGGGTGATTCTTGGTGATACACAGGCATAATTGATAACTTTGTGGGGGAAAAAATTAGATCAGTGAACCGTAGAGCTGATGTTAAAGCTGGCAAACAATTGCTAATGCTTTGTCTATCTTTATCACAAAGAAGTAACTCCAGCAAAACATGCATACTCAGTATTATGCTCTACAGGTCTTGAAGTCTGTTTGATCCTGTTAAATCTCTGGAAAAAGTTAATTACCTTGATGATATCAGCACAAGTCTGTAATAAACTGTCCAATTTTTCTAATAGGGAGCTGCCTTGCTGTCTACATAAGTGTCAGGGTTTGTTTTGGGTTGTGCTGGTTTTCATGTCTTTTGCTTTGTATTCATGCTCTTAGTTTAGTTACCTGGTTTGTCATGTGTTCTTTGCCCCTCTTGTGATCATGTCATGTGATTCCCTTGTCTGTCTTATGTTCTGATTGGTTCATGTTTCATGTTCTCATTGGTTGTCTTAGTCATGTGTCCTGTCTCTAATTGGTTGACTCTTGTCATGTGACCCTTTGTGTTTGCTATAAGTAGCCCTCTTGTTGCCAATAGGTGCGTTCGACTTGAAACAACAGATATATACTGATTATATAGTGCTTAATACATCGCCATCTGTTCAAGAATAAAGTTCAACGCAAATATATACTATTTAAATACTAATAAAGTGGGGGAATATATGCTTTCATCAGTGTTTTATGATAAACGTGACTCAATATAACATTGCGACTACAGTAAAAAAGCTTTTACTGTTCTAAAAACACAGATTTGTGGCTATTATTGGAATTGAAAAGGTTAGAATAAACCTGAAACACACGTGATCGTTGTCATGCAGTGAATCTGGCCAATCGTGAAATAGCTGTCGTCATCAATGCTCCTGCAGCCGCTCTGGAGAAACTGCGCAGGCTGAGTTAGCCGGCTGCTCTCGAAACGCTCTAGCGGTGCTTTGATGCCACATGTGACAGTGACGTGGTGTCGGCGCCATCTCAAGTCGGACAAAATTACTAACCGGCATGCACTGCTTCAAGTCAGATTGCGATCGATCTGCGCAGTGCTGCATGAAGTCGAACGCACCTAGTGTCTCTGGTCGTGTATTGAATGTATGTACCTGCTGTCGGTGAGTCTAGTCTGTTCAAGTCAAATCTGTTCAAGTCAAGACTCAGTTTGGATTACTGTTGTAAATAAAGCTGCACTTGGGTTAATCTACTACTCGCCTTCAGTGGACTATCATTACAATAAGTTGCTTTTTCACAGGTCACAAATATACAGCTTTAAAGAAACTTGACTCGAATCTGATTTCAATAGTTTGATGTTAGCATGATGTATATTGCTGATTAATCATAACATATGTGCTGATCTTTATTTAACTCGCAATTATAGATCAAATCTGACTAAACTAATAACACACAAACATTTTTGCATTAGTAAATTAACTAACATTAACATTAAGATAAGATTAACTAAGATTAAGTCGTGGCCTAATGGTTAGAGAGTCGGACTCATAACCCAAAGGTTGTGGGTTCGAGTCTCGTACTGGCAGGGATTGTAGGTGGGGGGAGTGAATGTACAGTGCTCTCTCCCACCTTCAATACCACGACTGAGGTGCCCTTGAGCAAGGCACCGAACCCCCAACTGCTCCCCGGGCGCCGCAGCACAAATGGCTGCCCGTATTTAAGTCTTTAAAAAAGGGCTATAAAACATGTTAATACCATTTGACTTCCTTTTTTCTCCATTACAAGTGGTGTCAGAAACAGAAAGTTGCACAGCTTTTGTAACCACATTATTTCTGCCTTTCTCTAACCTCCACCTAATGTTATAGAGTGAATTTTCATTTTCATTTATTTGTTCTCCTTAGCTACTTTTACGTAGCATACATGTTAATAAGTGTTGTCAAATTTAACTTTGTAGATGAAAAAATAAAAATAAAAGTATTCTAAAAAATACATTCTAAAAATCAAAACCATTTGTAATAAGATATCTAGAATTATTAAAAGTGCCCATAATTTCTCCAGACATCCTGTCAATGATCACATTAATTTATAATAGTTTTGCATTAATTCTATCTGGATTTCTGCATTAATTCTGACTGCCAGATGATGACACACACATACTGGCTAAGCAGTTGCATGCTTTTGTGGAACACAGCTGCAAACCTCTGACCTTGCCAGTGATGCTTGTAGTCGCAGGTGCGGGACAGGGCAATCATAATTGCACTGTAGAGGGGCAGGATCATGGCACAGAGACGCCAGCTGCGCCCACATCCGGCAGCTGTGAAGCACTGCAACTTGCCTGCCAAGTAAAATGAAGTAAAGCCCAGGCCAGAGAAAGCAACTAAAACAAAAGGTGAAAGAAACAGAAATAGAAAGAGGTAATTCAGAACATGAAAAACACCTGGGGTAATTTTATTCCATAAAGCGGGTTTTGTCGGAAACTCAGTTTGTTAACCCCAGAAAAGGGAAACGCAGTGTTTTTCGGTTCCAATAAAAGACAAAACTAAACCTCTCGGTAAGTTACCATAGTAACTTACTCTGTGAACCTAACCTGGTCGGGAGCAGATTTTCTTCGGAAAACCCAGAGTTTATTTCAGTCTCCTCCCCCTTTTTAAAGCGTAAGCAATGTTTAAATATCTCATTCATTCATTCACGCTGCAAAAATTGCTTTTATTACTGAGATTTTTGCCTTATTTCAATAACAAATATCTAAAAATTCTTAAATCATGATGCATTTTCTATATAAGAAAAATGTATACGATATTTAGTCTCGTTTCCTGGTGTAAACAAGTAAAATTAATTGGAAGCTGGGTAAGAAAAATAATCTTAATGAAAATGGAAAATGGAAACAAGATTATTTTTTCTCACCGGACCGCTTTCATTTTCATCATGCAGACACGGTAAATGGCATGTCTTTTTATAAGGGATCCTGTAGATGAGGAAGCTGCATTAATTCGCGGGGGAGTTACATTTACATCAGGAGAGGATTTAATTTTATTTTATTTCATTTATTTATTTTGCCATATCCACATGAATATTTATTAGAACAGCCTTTTTAAATGGCGTTCACTTGATAAAATCTTGTTGCAACCTCTAAGTAACCTAATAAATAGAATTTCCTTCAGGATTTCCAGTGTGGTTGGATGCATTGATTACACACATATTCTCACCATCGCACCTTCCGAAAATGAAGCTGATTACTGTATGAAATGCAAGGGTGCCAGATGGAAGGGTAGTGCAAGATATCAGTTGTCCTTACATTTTATCCTACCCGTTACATTGTCCTACCAGGGTTTACTGCGCATGCACACATCAATATTGCGTCATTTTTCTCACGCTGAATAACTTATATTTAATGTATCTGCATTAATGTAAGGGTAGGTTTAGGGTTTGGATAGGTGTAGACTTTAACAAAACACAATCTAATAGGTAAAAAAAAAATATTTATTGTTGGTTTAATCCTGTAGCTGTATCCCTTCTAGCCACAACCGCGAATATAACACATAATTACTGTATTTGCATTACTGTAAGGGTAGGTTTAGGGTTGGGGTAGTTGTAGACGTTAATAATCATTGTCGAATTGTACTACCGACTGTTTTAATGGGAGGTAGCAAAATCTGACAGGGTAGCACAAATCGACAGAACACCGTAACCACCACCACAGCTGTTAAATAAATACAAATTATTCACTGTTTATTTGGTCATCTTTATGTTCTACAAATACAAAAACAACAAATTATTCTTTTCCCTGTTGGATTTTAATATTGGTATTGTGGCCATCTCCTCTTTATCTGTCAGTGGTTCTGGTGCAGGTTCTCCTCCCATTTTACGAGTGTCTGCCTTCTTGCTGTTGGCTTCTGGATAGAAGTCAAATGTTTTTCCTTACCCTAATTAAGAAATGTAGCATATTGGATTAGAGAACATTTAATTATGTGAAAAAGCATTAGACTATGTGGGAAAAGCTGCTGCACATTGAAATAGATATACACTGAATGATATTTATTGAATGTCAAATGTTTGTAAAGTCATGTAACGTTAGCCTACACCCATTTCATGCTTGAAGCTTTACTTGATTGAATTATGTTTTACATTTTTTTCAGCTGCCACATTTTTTTTTCTTTTTGCCCGTGGGATACCATGAATAATTAATATTAGTTCAATAAATTACCTTTCTGCCAGTTTTCACCTCTTATAACATTAATTTAGAATTAAAGTTATGTATTCCGTAGCGCAAGTCTTTTTGGATGGAGCTGTTGCCATGGTGAATTGTAATTTCGGAGTTCCATTGATCATGGCTTTTCATAGTCGTGGTGGACACGCTAAACTCAGAGTCAACCTACTCAGAGTGAATTGAACTAACTCTGTTTCAGAACTAACTCAGAGTTTCCAATCTCAGGGTAAGTCAACTCAGAGTTCAGGTTTTAACTCTGGAATACACCCCTGCTTAGAATCTTTTGTTTTCCTTTTACATACCTCTTAGGAAATACAAAACTACCAAAAAAAAAACATTATATATATATATATATATATATATACGTATTTAATGTTAAGTATATTTTGTTGTATATAAAGTTTATTCAAATGAGAAAGTTTATCTCAAATTAAGGATAAACCACTGTTTCGCAGGTTGTAGCGAGCCCAATAATGTCATATTTAGGCACTGGAATGCGAATTTACCAGGGGAACCCCGACTGAAAGCAGGTATTTTACACCTCAGAACGAGATTTTTAATGGGGGACCACCCTCGAAACACGATTGGGCTAGTTTTGAGTAGCAATTGGGCGGGTTTTGTTGTGACAACCTGGCAACCCTAGCATGCACGTTTACATAAAACAATAATATAGTGCTGCAATCAGTTCTTAAAATAATGACATAAAAACATTTTGTTTAACACTTATCTGGAATGCGAATTTACCAGGGGAACCCCGACTGAAAGCAGGTATTTTACACCTCAGAACGAGATTTTTAATGGGGGACCACCCTCGAAACACGATTGGGCTAGTTTTGAGTAGCAATTGGGCGGGTTTTGTTGTGACAACCTGGCAACCCTAGCATGCACGTTTACATAAAACAATAATATAGTGCTGCAATCAGTTCTTAAAATAATGACAAAAACATTTTGTTTAACACTTATGCAAGCGAATCGTGCCCACAGCTAAAATTTAGCTGCTAAACTGTAAACACTTAACAAAACAATAAAGGTGGATACGTTAGCCGAGTGCTAACGTGACTAACTGATGAAACAATACAGTTTGAAAACCAAAATATGTCTACTGTAATGTCTGATGAACGACATACAAAAGACGCTCCGTGTCTTAACCTTTAATTATAAACAGCTGTATCACATGCGCCTAACTAACTAGTCTCTCTCTACCGGGTCTTTTACTCTCTGCATTAACCCTATAACTACACAAACAGCACTTTCACAATGACTATAAAGTCTGTCTGCTACACTACATTCTTTATTATTAAACGAAGTAATTAGAACAACGACAGTCTACATTAATTGACACATTCTTAGGAAATAGTGGGTTCACAGCGAATTATCAGAACTATTTCAGTAAAACAGTAATATCGTGCTTTACTTGGAAACCTAAGGTTGCACTAGGTATACATCACATATTAGCACAAAAAAGAAAAACTTATTATTTTGAGTACTCAATTGAAAATGTACACATAACGTTTCAATCGTACTTACAGTTTGTGGTTCAGAGACGCTTGTTGGTCCAAATAAAGAAGATTAGAAGCCAACAAAGATAAAAGGCAAGATTAGAGAAGCAGTCCTCGGTAAAATGAGAGCACAACAAACGGTTCGAATTGTATTGCAGTGGTATCGTGGAACACAGCATCTTCTTGACACAGAGAGTGTTCGTATTTCGTGGGCAGGCGGGGATTATGCTAATTTGTTACCCAGTGACGTAGATCGGTAACAGGCAGAAGATTCGAAAATATAATGACTCGTTAAGGCGATTCTGAGTCGACTCTTTCTTTTGAGAGACAATATTTTTTATTTATCATGCACTTTTTTGATTTAACAACTTTGCAGACTGTTTACATTGAAGGATAGCAACCTTACAAATTGCAAAAGAGATATTTTTCGAAAACCCATATGACCTGCTCTTTAAGATTTTTTGTGGTGAACCATTCATCAGTGTCATCACAAATTAAATTGTTGATGACAGTGTAACGACTTGATTACTTAATTTTAGGGAATTGATTATTATTAATTCATTCAGGTATTGAAAGGACTCGGATCTGAAAATTCGAGGTCCACCTGATTAAAACTGATTTCAAATTTGTTGTTTCACACTTTAAATCAACGGTCGTCCAGCGAGCCGTGACCTCAGTATATTTTAACAAATTGAATATGTATTTTCTTTGGCCACAGGATAATACGTTCTTTGACAATTTGTAAGCTCTTAGAGAGGTAACAATGATCTTTGGCAAAGGTTTTGACTTTAAAATTTCACGACACCAGACAATGATCCTTTATAAATGAAACATGAATTTTATTGGCTATTCTAGATTACATTAAAACTAGGCTAAAACACACACACACACACACACACACATATACAGCTCAGAAAATTGAAGGAATGAGTTAACGAAGTTGCATGAAGTTTCAAAGTTCTAACACTTGTTTCCACGAGTGGTTTTAAATTCGACCTGAGATAATTCACAAAGCAGATATTTGGCTTATTCGCCAAACTTTGCAGACTATTATATTTACTGCTTAAATTAGCTCGACACCAGTTCAGCAGAGATAAGTCTTTGTTCTTTACTTGTGTTTTGCTTTGGTGACAGCTGAGATTATTTCCTGTTGCTGACGCAGGCTTCCTGGTTGGCTGCTGGAGGGAAATTCCTTTGCTGATTGGTTGGTCGCTTTGACGCCGGAATGACGTTTGGATGACTTCCTTTTGGGGAAGCCCTCGATGGGTTGGTTGGTTGCCGGGTTACGGAAGAGGCTTCAGCAGTTCTGCTGAAACGTCTTGAGTTTGCAAGGCTTTAAGTTCTTTGAAGATCGCGAAGTGTCAACTGAAGTGTTTGAGTTCTGGAGTCTCGCGATGCGGTGTTAAGGCAGGGAAGCCCTTGTAGCGCTGTTACCAAAAGGAAAGCCAGAGGTCTTGAGCGAGAGAGCGCGAGCAAGAGCGTAAGACTTTGTGTCCAATTTTAAGCAGGCTGACTTTTGTCCAGCCCACAGGTCGTGGTCCAATCAGATGGTGGCTGCGGGGTTTAACCACGCCCCATACTGTTCCTTATCATGCATGAATCACATGCTGTTTGTGGCGAGTATTTCTGCAAGTTTTTAAGAACTTCTTATAAAAATATCATCACCAGAAAATGATGCCGAATATAAATTTTTCACTTACACCAATGTTCTGTGAATAAAACCCGATACTAAACTTCACATATCTTACACACATATTAAATGGTTTGTCTGCTAAAAAACAGTTATAAGGCAAATATTAGAATATCATAGATTCCAATAAACACATTGTAGCGAATCAGCTCATGGGGAAATATTAATAATTAATCATAACTAGTTATAATTAATTATACATATTTAGATCCGCTGTAGATATTTAGCTGACCTCTCGGGGTCAACTGTCTGTCAATTCTAAGAACGTTAATTTCCTGGTTAAGGGAAATAACTTTCTTACTGTACAATTCTACAAAGTTAGAAAAGAGTCAATTTCTACTGTGCACTGTGTCTCTTCCTTAAGAAAAAGGCAGTGATTTTCCCTACTTGCATTCCAATAGGTCGTAAATGTATCTGGTGTCAGGGTTGCCATGGTAACCAGGGGGGCCTGGTGTCATTGCAGACATCCTGGCATCCAGTTTATTGGGTAAGGGGACTGTGACGATTTGTTAATCTAATGAA